CCACCCACCTGTCCCCACCCCCACCCCAAGGCACTGAGGGGGACCCTGGGCAGCACATCCTGGTCCTTCACCAAGAATGGAGGTCACCTGGCCCCATGGGCATCGCGGGGTGCCATCCCCTGTGGGCAGCCAGACCCCAAGTGATCTGGGCTCCCTCTCTGCCGCTGCCTTTGCGTTGCTGAGCTGCAGCCCGATTTCAGGAAAGTTCTGGAGACAGATGCTCCTGAAGTTTGGGAAAAGGGTAGAAATGCCTTTGAGGGCTCCGGGCGGTCGCCCTGGGCCTGCACCTCCTTTCCTGCCTCTGCAGGGCCGTGTCCAACCGCGGAGTGGCCCGCCTGTCCCCCGGAGCTGTGCTGCCTGGGGTCCCTCCACGCTGGCGGGGCCGAGCACCCTTGCCTCTGGGGGCCCCGGGAGGCTGGGGCTGGGGGCCTCTGCCCCTTGGTGCAGGGCAGACCCCGGGCCAGTGGGCACAGGGTGAAGGGGGTGCACCTGGCACGGGCCACCAGCACAGTCACCCGGCTCCTGAGTCACTGGGGTGGGTGCCTAGCGCCACTTCTGGTCGGTTGAGGAACCTCCCAGCTCTGCCGAGGTTGGGGCGGGAGGGGCAGGAAGATTCCAGAAGGCCCAGGTCCTCAGCTCTGGAGAGCACCTGGGTTTGAAGAGGCGACGGCAGGGCGGGAGGAAGTGGAGGCCTGTGCGTTGTCCCCGCGTGGCCCTGCTCCCCGCACCAGAGCACGAAGCCGCCTTGGTCAGGACTGGGCTGTCCTCAGAACGGCCACTGCCGTTCACCCACTGCCGTTCACCCACTGCCGTTCACCCACTGCTGGCTCACCGTGCATTCAGAGCACGGTTAATTCCAGGGGATCCCCAACGGCCCGGCTGCGTCCGGTTCCTGAGACTGGAATTGGGGTTGGAGGCAGCAGGCGGCAGGCGCCATGGTATGGGGGCCCCTAAGGGCCGCCCCTGGGCACTGGGACCCTTGCGCTCTGAGCCTGCCCTCCCCTCGCCCTCGGACCCGAGGCCTG